GCCGCCACCGCAGTTTGTCCTTCATGAGCCTTCGTAGACAAGATGGCGGTGCAAGATGGCGGCTGCCTGTAGTGGCGACCCGCGACAGCTTTTTATAAGGTAAAAATAATAAAACAAGGTCTTTGTCTGCAATGATTAGACATGTTTTTTTATTATTGTCATTAGTGATTATCTCAATTTTGGCTAAAAGACTTGACAAAATCCTACACACTGTGCTTTTAAAATAGCTTCAAGTAGTTACAGTCTAAGAAACTATAAACAGAAAAACAAACAATCAAATAACCGTGGAGTCTGGCATTTGCGAGAAAAAATAACCGAACCTCTGGCCGACCATTGTCATACACAGATAAACACTCATTCTCACATTAAAGACGGCTAAGTTAACTCAAAATAGTCTCCAAGTRGCAAAATTTTGTGGGAGAATCTCTAAAATGTCACGATGTAAAATACAGTCATTGTGACACCTCTGTCACAGTCATCTTGAGAACACAGAGTAATGCCAAAAGAACGAAGACAGATGAAGTAAAGTCAGAAATAACCCCATCCGATGCTGAATTTACATTACGATCATCATTTATATTGGGTCATAAATTTTTTTTATTCATTTTACCTTTGAGTTATGCTTTTCTTCCTTTAAAAGCTCCATCCTAACAGATCACATCAGCATGACAGTGCTTGCGCTGATGTGCTAAAAAGGCGCCCTCATAAAAATTTATGGTAGATAAAAATGTGACTAAAAAGTYTTTTTCAAATAAAATAGCTGCAATGGAGTTGAGGTACTTGGAGAAGAAGAGGACAGTAGGGTTGAATAGGTGGAGACGGAAAATAAGGGCATGGAGAGAAATGCTCAGCAACAAAAAAATATATAAATATTAATAGTGCCGGTTTTCTATCTTTGGCTGCATCCTGTTTTTATTCAAAATTACACATTTTTCTGTGTCAGAAGCARGAGTAGTAAAATGTGGGCAGGGAGGAAGAGGAACAAAGGTGAAAGAAAAGTGGTGGGAGGATGCAGAGCTGCAGACAGGACTATCGGACCGCTCTAGATGTAGTGACTGGGAATCGATGAGAGAGGAAATGTGCAGAAAGCAGCGAGCTGGAGCTGTGACAGAGAAGGGTGGATTCACCAGGCTGGAACTGCCATATGACAGCATGCGAGGAGGAGAAGAAGAAGAAGAGGAGGAGGAGGAACGGGAGATGGGAATAGAAAATCTGACTGTGTGAGAGCGAGAGAGAGATATGAAAAAAAAAGGTATGAATTCACATAGAAAGAGAAATGACAAGTCGCAGAGATTGGCAGAGGGGATTGATAGAGGCCTGTTGGAAGAAGCGAGATGGAGTCAGACAAGAAAAAAAAAGACGAAATGTTGTTTGTGTCACAACTGCTGATGCGCCTCAAGTGATGATTGTACTATCATCGAACAGCAGATACACAACTACACACAAATGTAGGCTCGCTTTCCAAAAGCTTGATAAGAGAATGTTTTATATCTGTGGACAAAAATCTGCAGAGCGCCCTCTTTTTTTTCTTCCTCTTTTTCGTCCTATCTATGTCTTTCTTCATCCCTCTCCGTGTGCACTGAGGGGTCACTAACTGGTGGTTCAGTGGATTGAGGAGGAACAGATGGAGAAGCAGATGGAGAGAGTGATTGGCCGTGTTTATGCCTTCTACCTGCGGTTTTCTCCATCCATTTTYCCCCCCTCCTCGCTCACCCACTCTCCCTCTTTATTAAACAAACACGGTCGTCATGCTTTGGCTCTTGGATTAATTTTACTTTACATCACACTTTAAGACTCGYCTTGCCTTTTTTGATGTAATGACTTGAAATTGCACAATCGATTTTTGAAGGAGATAGCGCCTACACACACAAAGTACATAATTCTAGTGCTGATGTGCCAGATCAGATCGCTTTTTATYATTTTTTGTTTTGTTTTATTGCTTTTGTACCAACATAGACATAAAAGGTGGATGTTATTACTATAATATCATCTAGATTAGGCCACAGTGGAGTAGAGTTGGCTGTTGAAAACCTAATAGAAAAAAGGTTTGCATTTTTTTAAAGGCTAATTAAAGATCAAACATTCCATTCATCCACTGAGTGGTTGTTGAGATATTTTGCTAACAAAAAGACTCATGAGCAGTCATTCACTTTGCATACTTACCTATAGGGACTACAGGAATTTAGCTTAATAGTGTTGTAGTAACTGAAAGTCATTMTAAATCCATATTCTAGGCTAATGCATCAAATGAAATTTCACAAAACACATGAAGGAAGGCCTGACAAAAATGGCTCCAACTCCACTTTTCAGCTTAAAGGGGGGTGTTATGTATTTTCCAGGCACATGGTAAAATTCTATACCACAATTGGGTAACAATGTTACCTTTGGTTGTTATGAAAAAGCTGTATATATCACAAATAAAGTTGACTTTGCCTTGAAATTGGCCTCTCTCTATAAGAACCTCCTACCATTCCTCACACTCCCACTTCCGACATGGCTTCATGCTGTTTACAACCTTATGTGGAAGAAGTGATCAACAACTTGTAGTGAATCGTGTCATCCCTAAGAATCATAAAAAAGGGTAGTCTCCTCCTTGGCATCCAAAAGCAGTCGGTTCGGATGTTATCAGTCCATTAAATGGATGTTATTAGCGGTTATCAGTCCCATAGAATGGTTTCAGACTGTTCCGACAGTGCCCCCTAGTGGGTTACCAGTGCCATATACGTTGGAATGCAACAATCTGCTACCACCGGAGTCCGGTCTACTTTATCATAGCCCATGTCATTTTCTCTAACACTAACCTTAGTGGCTTTCATACTAACCATCTGACAGTCTGAAGCCATTCTATGGGACTGATAATGGCTAATAATGTCCATTTAATGAATGATAACATCCGAAGCGGGTTTCCAAAAGTACATTTCCTCAAAGAAGATAAAAATTCAAAAAGAGCTGGACAGAGAGAGCTCAACAGACATGCAGTTCCACCAGGTCTGGTGGGACTGTGTGGGGAAGGYGTGGGGGGAAGGGTGGTCTGTGKGGCAGGAGCTCGGCTGCAGACTGAGCTTCAGGGGAGGAGCTTTGGGTAAATAGGTGGAGCTTTGTCTGAGCAAGCGTTTAGACAGCTCCACATGGCTGCCACAGGAGATTCAAGGATTTCTCAAACATGCTTATGCGTGAGTGAGGATGTTTTTGATGAGGGAATGACCTTATAACATGATATAAAGCTAAAACACTGTGATTTTGCATAATTGTGAGCGATATGCATTCCTTTAAGAAATTCTAAACMTTGATTAAAAATAAGAGTTTTAGAGACATATGGGACATTGTCTAGTGGGACTAATGAAGCGCAGGGTTCTGTGTTACATTCCATTTAAAGGTTAACATTGGGTTTTGTGGTAAATATTTCTCTGCCGTTGCTGGTGCTGCATTTGCATGCTTGACGAGTGCACTTACGTTTCAGTCAATTACTGAACACTCTTGAATCTTTTTGTGCTTCTGAATTACCTGCCCAGACGTGGGAATAAAGAACGACCCCTCAAAGTAGAATTTAAAGTATTACATTCATCCTTAAATGAAGAGAAGGGGGGTGGGGGGCACTTTGGTAGAAGAATTATGAAACACTTTTTTCCACAGGATGTGGTACAGTTGACAACAGGTTTTGATATATATATATATAT